TGTAAAGGACTGTGAATTTTAAATGCTGATGTAATGAATTATTAAAAGAAATCACAAGTAATGGTTTAGTATTTATGTATAACATAAATATAAATATAAATATACTGATCTAGACATTTTCCCCATGTGAGACAATCAGGGAAAAATAAACAAGACTGACAAGGTTACTAAGAAAATGTCCCTCTGATAGCAGTATTGCCGTAATGCAGTTCTGCTCATTGATTTGCAATATTGCCTCCAATAGTCTAATGCAACCACAGATAATAAAGGGATAGATACCTCAATATAAACAGTATGGCACAGACTGTGTATATCGTGATATTTCCCAGCCCTACCCTCTGAGCTCCAGGGCTGCTGTTGAACCATAGACTTCTGCTCTCATCCAAGGAAGGTAGCAAGAAAACGGTACAGAAAAGGAAATCCTACCATTTTAAGTGGAAACGCATTCTCCATGTGTTGCTGAATCAATTGCTCCTTAGATCAACTGCAGCAATTTTTTGTGGGAAAATGAGACTGAAGCTTGCTAATGCAAACACATTTTTTGACACAGTAGCATTAATGTTAGCGTATTTGCAGTATTATCGGCTTAAACCAATCATTGTGCTCCAGTCATATTGTTTGAATTCTGGTATTATGGTCAGTACATGAAGCTCCTCCTCCTCCACAGCTGCAGCTGGAGAAGAGTAAAGGGGAGATCCTGGGTGTGGTGATTGTGGAGTCCGGCTGGGGCTCCATTCTGCCCACAGTTATCTTAGCCAACATGATGAATGGCGGGCCGGCGGCTCGCTCTGGCAAGCTCAGCATCGGAGACCAGATCATGTCCATCAACAACACCAGCCTAGTGGGGCTGCCACTCGCCACCTGTCAGGGAATCATTAAGGTACAGAGACACTGAGGATGTACATACGAGTGTGGCTGAAAGAGGCTGCGATATAAATAGTAATTAAACATTAAACCACGTAAATTTTGTGAAGCTTGTTATGTTTGTGTGTTTCTCTGTGTTAAAGGGCTTGAAGAACCAGGTTCAGGTGAAAATGAACATCGTCAGTTGCCCTCCTGTTACCACCGTCCTCATCAAGAGACCAGATCTGAAGTATCAGCTGGGCTTCAGTGTCCAGAATGGCATTGTAAGTTTAAGTCTGCCTTCTTTTAACAAGGAGCATACTGGTTAGTTTGATATTAGTAATATCAGTGAATAATATCAATACAAATTTGTGGTATTTTCTTTTCATGTCACTTTCTACTTCTACTCCTCTACATTTCAGAGGGAAATATTGCACTTTTTACTTACTACTACATTTATCCAACAGCTTTAGTTACAATATATGAATATGTGAATTTACAGCTGATATGATTTTTCAATTAGCCGTTTTTCATGCAAAAAGATTTTCTGCTTTTCTTTTTAATTATTTTAATTTATTACTGTAAGTTGAACAAAACAAGCACTGCGATGGTGTCACTATGGGCTTTGAGTAATCTGGAAGGCATTTCTCACCATTTTCAGAATTTTCACAAACCAAACGATCAATCTGTTAATGGAGGAAATAATCATCAGTTTAGTAGCAGTTCAGAATGAGCTTCAACTCAACCAGCTACAGCAGTAAATTCCTGCTTTTACATTAATGCATGAGTAATAATAATCTAACGAATTAACAATCTCAAGGACCAATACTTTTAACTACATTTAAGTAGTATTTTTACAGTATGGTATTATTACTTTTACTGAGTAATATCACTTATTACAAGTAATATATCACTGAGTAATATTAACAGAATGTCATTTTTCAAAACATTACCATTTACTGCTTTTTTAATGGACAAAATGTTAACTCTTTTGTTTGGTATATTTTGTATCTGTATCGTACAGCATGTATATGTTTCACATTGCTGTCTCTGTTTAGATTTATGTGCTCATTTTATTTTCTCTGTATTGGATACACTGAAGAAAAACTGTCATTTGCAGTGTCGTGATAAATTGCTGTTTTGCCTTGAATGATATTTATACACCGAATACAATCCCTTCTCCAAAAGTCCCATTAACTTTAGCAAGGATGTAATGTGCAGTTTAAACTATTTCTCATGGCCTTACAGCTCCAATTTCAGATGTCATCACCCTATCACTGCAGACATTTTACCCTTCTAGTGGCATGCATTTAATTCATTCACATTTTGTTTTGTGTGTGTTGTGCCCGTCAGATATGCAGTCTGATGCGTGGAGGCATTGCTGAGCGAGGTGGCGTCCGTGTGGGTCACAGGATCATAGAGATCAATGGGCAGAGTGTGGTGGCCACAGCACATGAGAAGATTGTCCAGGCCCTCTCGAACTCTGTTGGCGAGGTTAAACTCATGCACACACACAGGACAGTAACATACAAATGTACACATTTGCAAATATTTAGAATTATTATCACTATTTACTTATAATGGTAAGGGAATTACAAAGTATAGAAATGTAATATTATTTAATATATATGGCTGTAGAGACAACACATTTTTAACAGAAATCCTACATTACAAACTGGGGCTTTGAGTTTGAAAGACTTTAGCTTTTAACATGCAGAGGAAGACTAACAAAAGATACAGTTTAGTACATAAACATGAAAATACTACTAATGTTGGGCCTTTTAATTGAGATTGTTCTGTTTCTGTCTTTCTCTCGCTGGCAGATTCACATGAAGACCATGCCGGCAGCCATGTTCAGACTCCTAACAGGACAGGAGACACCTATGTACATATAAACAATGGCCACAGGACGAGCTGTCAGCTGTGATTGGTTATCGTACGGGGCAAACCAAGCTGACCAGAGAAGGGGGTGTGGGGGATCGCGTCTCCCTGTCGATTCATTTCTCTTAGTTTTTTTTTCCTTTGAGCTGATTACTTCAGTTCTTTATTATCTCTCGTTTGTCTGTGCTTAACATGCAAGGGCCATTTTAATGACATGAGATGTTTTTTTTCATCTGATCAGCTGAAGAGACTGTGTGTGTGTGTGTGTGTGAGTGTGTGTGTGTGCTGTTTGTTATTTATTTGTCCTGTCTGTGCTTTTGTGTTACTTCAGTGAGATTACGTGGACTGACTTTGCGAATGCATCACAATTTATTTTTTTATATTCATGTAATGCAATATGATACTTCTGCTATACTCCTTGTATAGTTTCATTTTCTTCTCCGTTTATTTATTTCTCATGTAAATACATATTTTGCTAATATTGCGACTGAAGGCAATGGGGAGGGAGGGGCCACAGCTGCATTGTAAATATTTATTGAATCTTGCTGTTGAATTGAAAGCAGTTTGTGATGATGGCAAAGACACAATTAAATGCCAGACATCAAAGTAGTTGCCAGTGAAAAGGGGAATGACTTAAGTGTTTGAAATGTTGGGTTTAATATGCTAAGTTGATATAATGTACATGTGAATCAAACCGATGCTTGCAGCAGGGGTTTATGGGAAAAATGCCATATCCTTTTCATTTTCTTCATTATACGGCAATACACAAGTTCAACCTCTGAATGGCAAGAAAAATCTTTTCTAAAATCTCATGTACAAACACTCACACACATTTAAATAACACACAACTGATTAAAACTATTAACATGCATCAATTATGCTTTTGATATCAAAGTCACATGTATGAAAAGTTAAGTTTTCGTGTGCTACTCTATTGTATGTTCATCTTTAGTGTTTCAGACTGAAACTCATGCATACTATGAGTGGATTGTGAATGTAACTGTGTTGTGCGAGATGTCCCATTGCCATAAGCGGTATTAGAATGTCTGTACATAAAGAGAAACTTGTCTAGTATTGTGCCCATGTTAAAAAAACAAAACACGCAGGTTTAGTCACTGCAGCCATCTTCCCACCTGTTTGTTGGCTTTCAGTCTTGCGAGGGAAAGAGAGAACTGTGAATCACACCACTGTGACAGATACAAGCCTTACCACCGAGTAATGGTTTTACAATGCATTGTAGTAACTTTTAACCATATGAACATTATCTGTGTGCATGCCTCGTAAAGTAGTATCATGTCATTGTGGCAAGGTAATAAAATCTGAGCTAAACCTGGCTGGTTTTGTTGGACTGGATCAAACTGATAGTTGAATTTGCTGTATCAAAGTGTAGCCTGCTTATTGACGAGTAGTTTACTTTGGAAGCCCATTGCCGCCAGGAAAAGAAATTAGACACAAAGTTGGATGTGATAAGATAAAAACATAATGTTCATTTAGTAAGTGTCCATTTTGACTTATTTAGTCAAACTTGACTTGTGATTGTAAGAGTATATTACTGTCTCACAGTTTTGAGTTAGTACCTTGAAATCTCACGATCTTGAGCAAGTGACGTTTTTGACTTTGCCACATCATATTGCCTTAGTAAGTCTTCTACAATTTTAAAAACTTTCTGAAGGTCATCCACACCTCCCGAAAGTATTTCATTTTTCAAAAAAAACATGTTGCCTTTTTTGTGTGAAGTTTAAAGGACAGTGGCACTCCAGAATCGCAGTCTGATTGTTGTCTGTCTGTGCGTGTTCATTGATTTCTTATATACTAACTGCAAAAACACTACACCATGACAACTACTATATTGTATACATAGTGTATACTATTAGTATGAAGTGTGGAATTGGGACAGACAGTATCTGCGTCCAATTTCCACACTACATGGAACTGGAAAAGTAGAGAAATTAAGTACACTCAAACAAAGATGTCAGTAAACAACACTTTTTGAGTCTTCGTAATATCCCCCAATCCCCACAGCTGCAAAATAAATCAACTGATTATTAATTGCAGTTGAAAGAGTAAAGTATGTTGAGTTCTTGTATACTAACTGCAAAGCAGTATACTTTAAAGATTCATACATAGTATCTACAGTATTGTGTACTGTTAGTATGTAGTATATGACAATGACACTGCCATACGTTTCCACTTTTAATCTCTAGTTCCCCCTAATGCCTGCAATTATGTAGTACAGGTTGTGTGAAAATCAAATATAAAAAATGAAATACCTAAGATTTTGTTATTTTAATTTTATTATTTAAGGATTTTCTTTTACTAAAGTAGCTGTATGCAAAATTATCATAAATTTAAATACGTATACATAAAATTGCAAATTATATACAATAAAAAAACAATTAAAATGTTGTTTATAAAACAAAGAGCATCATAAAATAATTACTCGTACCACCTGATTTTAATTACATCTCTGACCTGTAGGTAATAGTGGTCACAGTGCTGTTATTATTATTACTAATAGTGTCTCTTTGAACTATCAATGTTATCTTTCTTAGGTTTGGATGTCATTCTGAGTCGCTCTCAGTCAACCCGGTTTATGTCACTGCATCCGGTCAGATCAGGGCTTCTGGTCATTCTCGTCACACTTTAACATGACCTTTACCCCAACACCCTGACGTGTGGTCTCAAAGGCCTGGACTGCCTGCTCCAGAGGGAAGCGGTGAGTCACGAGGGGCTTCACGTTCACTTTACCCGACGCCACCATGGCTATGGCCATCGGCCACCTGCAACACAGCAATATAAAAATTTGACTCTAGAGTTCTGTCTCTGTGGTACCTAATAATTACTTAATCATTTATAATGTGATTTATACTGTCTGTAAGATAAACTCACAAAGGGAACAGCCTCCAAATGTGCTTTAAACATCTGCTTATAGAACAAGAAGGGAAATCCATGGATAATTTCTTACGTATTGCAGTAGCGGAAAACCCCTCTGATGTCCACTTCTCTCACAGCGGCATTGATCAGAGGAACAGTGGCCATCTCAGAACCAAGACCCACCAGGACCACCACACCCCCTGAACGTGTTGCCTGACGGGGAAAAATATCAACTTTTATAATTATTTTATCAGCAGATACTGAAACTCACAGTGTACTGAGTATTATTTAAATGACAAGCAGAAGTGGAGAAAGTATTCACATTCAGCACTGTAAACTTATTCCATAACATGTAAAAGTCCTGCATTCAAATGTATGAAAATATTACTGGCAAAATGTACTTATTATTAATACTAAGTAATTAATAAGTATTAAAAACTAAAAGTACTCAACGTGGAAAAATTGCCACTTTTAAGTGTTACATCATTATATATTCGAATATTATTACAGATGTATTTACAACGTAGGTAGCATTTTAGTGCAAATTTTAACCATTTTATATACTGTTTCTATATTTGGTAGTTTAATCTATATCAATATAAGTCTTTACTGAGAGTAGTCACATACATAGATGGAAGTTTGAATGCTGCTCTCAACACCGGTGCATTCAATAGTGATGTGAGGCTGAGCGCCCAGCATGTCCTCTACACTCTTGGCCAGCTGCTGGGATCCATCTCCTCTCTTCACTGTCAGCTGGAAGTCTGCACCCAACTCTCTGGCCATTGTGAGACGCTCTGGGGACAGATCTGAACACGGAAAAGGTGGATTAGACAAAAGAAACACATCCTCAACAGAAAATGCTACTAGAATCCAGTATGTTGTGTCATTTCAGTTAAGATGGATGTTTATAAACCGAGTGTGTTACCAGTGATGACGACCTTTGAGGCTCCCATTGCCTTGGCCACGAGCAAACAGACCAATCCAATAGGTCCTGTGGAAAGAGAAGAAATAAATAAGATGGCTACCATAGACGCTGTGTTAAACATCTGACAAACTAACACTATATATGTCACATACACTAATCAATGACCAGGCATTGTAAATATGTTTTGAAGCTTGAGAAAAGTCATTATCATACTATGTGCTGAACCTATCCTGTTTATTTTTACCTTCATAGGAAACAAGCAACTATTTCACCAGGTATTGCTTAACACAAGTGTCTTAATATATGAATAAGGAGTTTTTTACAAGGTGCATTAAGGTTCAGCAGTTTTTCAGTTCTGTTGAGTCAGTATTATCCTTTGACTACACTGAGTGTTAAATTAGATCTCTTACTTTCAAGGGCATGTTACATCAATACAGTACAATCACCTATAAGTCTTTTTCCCTCAAAAGTTGGTGACTTGATTTATTGTGTAATCATTTATAATAGTTACCTGCACCACAGATGAGGACGTTGCTGCCTAGGGTTACGCCGGCTCTGCGACAGGCGTGGATTCCCACAGACAGAGGTTCAATTAGTGCTCCCTCCTCGAATGTCACATTATCAGGTAGCCTGGAGAGTTGAAAAAAGACAGAGAGAGAGAGAGAGAGTAGAGAAGAAGAAAGACAGAAAAGGATACATGCAAGAGAGTCAGTTGGCAGTCAGAGATCAAGCAGTTGTTAGGTAATCTGGTGCAAAGCCATGCAACCCTGGAAGAACTTTACTTGTAACAGAAGTTGGCACTATGCTTGTAGTATCTGCACAGATTTCCATCGTCGGGGGGTGTGGCACAGAAGAATATGGTAGGAGACAAGTTATATCGTCCGTTTTTGAAGAACTCGTCCATCTCACGGGGCACACCAGGCTCAATGGCCACTCTGTCACCTGAAAAATACAAAATGACGCTTACAGCATTGTCCAGGTAACTCTATCACAGTGTGAACGTGATTTTAATACAATAAAAATGTGAGGACTGAGACCTTGCATCAAAATGATGTATAGTGTATGACATTAGGGTGCAATGAATACATATATTTAAACGCATTGATGGCACTGCAGGTACAGCTTATAAAATAACCAGAGTTAATATAACCTTTTTGAATTACAAATATTCCTTATAACAGAATGGCAGATTTCTGCAGCGCACGCTGCATGAGGCACTGCCTTTGATGTTTCATAACTCTGAGCAACATACAGTATCCACCACTTACCCACTTGAAGGTCCTTGACTGCTGAGCCGACCTTCAACACCCGCCCTGAAGCCTCGTGTCCCAACACCATTGGCTTCGTGACGACATAGTCCCCAATTCGGCCGTGCTGCCAAAAGTGAACATCTGATCCACAGATTCCAACTGAGTGCATCTGGAGCAAAACCTCTGGGCACAAAATGTGACACAGTGTGGCAGTCCAGTACTGATTAATAAGAGGGTCTGCACCGAGTGATCTTGTTGCAAAACGACAATACAGCTCAACTCCAGACTTCTGATAATCTGAGGAATGATTTCCTACATCTTAATATGTTTAATGTGTTCAGCAATTTAAAATGGATGGATAAAATTAAACGAAATGACATGTCATTTCAAAAATGTTTGACAGCAGTGTATGATAGGTTGGCTTGCAAGTCACACACGTTAATCAGACAAGTGCTAAAATGTACTTCTGACCTAAGCCATAAATGCAGTGTTCACTGACATATTCATAAAGGAAAATTAATGGAGCTGAAATAAGAAGCCAGACAGTAGCTTTGTAACTGAGAAACATATTGCTCACAGTTAACGTTAATTGGATTAATGCACGGGATTAAATTCGGTTAAGCTAACTTACTATAACTGTACACAACGTGCACAGCATTTTCACCATATTCTAAATATTTGGAAATGTTTGATGAAGTGGATAGTACATCGCTGAATGTCATACCATTAGGTCCTGGTTCAGGGACAGGCCGCTTTTCCTGTAACAAATTGACAATATGCAAAAGAAATGTATCCAAGTTGCAGTCAGTTTAATTTATAGATTGCAACTAATCATCGCATGGAAACGGTAAATTACAAGTTTGTGGTCGGTGTCCTACCAGTCTGAGGTCTCCCTGGGAGTGCAGTACCACGGACAGATTTTGCTGCGCCATGGCAAATACAACAGTGAGCTGACAGCACGGTAAAGATGAACCAGACAAATACAAAGTCTGAGTCCAAACAGAAGTCTATCAAACGGTTTTGTACCTCGGTCAAAGTGTAGGGAGCTGCAAGCTACACCTTCCTGATTGCGGGGCATGTACCAAAACAAAGCATGTGATTGGTCTAAGATCAGCGGCACAGTCCACTTTGAAGGGGTGACCACGACCACGCAAAGACATTCAACTGCACTCATGAGATTACATTTAACCATACAACAGCTGTACATTGCTTTCTAACGTCTGTACACTATATTATTATTGGATAAAATGTTTTATTGAGCCTGTATTATCGATATGCCGTGACATAATCAGCAAGACACCCTTTAACTTACGTCATACTGCGCTCAATCCGTAGAGATGGTCCAATTGAAAACAGGCTCTGCATATTAAGCGGGAGCACCGTTTGGTTTGTTTTTAGTTGTTAGGAATAGTGCATATACGTTTAATGAGTTGAAATTGAATAAAGTGCCAGACATGTTTTTGTATGAAATTTACAGCATTGTGATTAGTCATGTGATTAAAATAAATCATTTCTCAAGATATGGCATCTATATATTTCTGCAATTGTCAAGCTTTCCCTTTTGTATGTCTCACATGTTTCATGTTACCTATCATCTGCAACTGGTACAGATTTGAGATGGGAAATCAGTAAGACATGAATAACATCTCTGACCTGGATACACCTCATTAGTAGTGCACTAAACGAAAAGACTGAGAGGTTGAGTTTTTTGTGCAGCCTGCATACTTGCATGCAATTGTTAGTATAAAACTGCCAACTGGTGATTCAAAGCTAATTAAACAAAAATCTGTCAACCCCATGACGTTGATTAATAAACAGCGTGCAGGACATTGCATCTGGGAAAGTACTGTTTAGAAAGGTATGACTACAGACTAAATCAATAGATTACACGTGTTTAATTCCTGTGGCACCTCTAAAGTCTATCCTCACTCCATTGTAATACCATAAAAGATTCAGTACTGCACACACTGTAAGACAGATTCCATACCAATGATGTAATTACAAATGTGGACCCATTTGTACCCATTACCTTTTTCAGAGAAGGTTAATTTCATTGGGCAATATGAAAATGTAGGGACTATGTTAGCGGGATAAAACAATTAGTGGAAAATACAGTACATACACGAGTACAGGTAGGCAATGCAAACATAATAAACTAACACCATAACTTATTTGCCAGTAAATTATCTACAGCTTGTGACAGTGAATAGCACAACTGCTTCTTGTTCCTCTTTAAGATGCTTTTCTCTTATTGCATGTTGGCTTTTGTGTGCGGCAAGCAGCAGTGGGCTTTACAGTTGGAGCATTGGAAACAACCGAGGTGGAAATCACACAGATCGCCTGAATATTTCTGCAGGTTGTCCATGCTGACGTAACCTGTAGTGAATAAGTCAGAAAAACGTAGTGTAACATTAACAAACTCAACTTTACAGAAGAATCTTCTACCTACAGATGTTGAAGATTGTCTCGTAATCTAAATATGGATTGCACCAGATACAATACAATTCAATACAGGTCAATTGTCTATTATTATCCTATTAGATACAAGTACAGACATTTTCTCAAAGAACAAACAGTAAATGATGATAAATGTTCACCTGTAAGCATGTTGCTAACTGGGTAATCTTGCAAATGACCACATAGAGGGGCTTCACTTTCTGACGAGTCTGAGTGAAATGCTTCAGAACTGCCAAAACCATAATAGGGACTAAATTAGTTTACAGGTCAATTTACAATTTATTGAATTCCAATTCAAAATATTTATAGTGGAAAGTACTTAACGTACTCGCTTCTGCTGACTTCACTGTACTCATCTTCTGTCTGGCACCTGAAACTCTTACAGGAACCCTGTAAAACAGAAGCAATTAAGGTGATTACAGTAATTTACATAATCTGCCTTTGTGCTAATGTTGTATATTACATATACTGTCTATATAGACACACTCTCTCTCTCTTTAATTATTTTTAACTAATGTGAAGTGTCTTTAGGTACCATGAAAAGTGCTCTATAAATAAAATGCATTATTGTTATTATTACATAACAATGTATTAATGTTATTATTACACTTACCTGTGCTAGTGATTGCTCCTCTTCACACTCCCAAATCAACCTCCCAACCATGTTTCTGACCTCTTAAATGATAATCAGAGGAACATCGTATGAGTTATAATTCCTACAGCTGGTTTTCTTTTAAATTAATCAATCATTAGTGTGGATCCCAATGTTTTTTGACTTGACCCATCAAAGTGAAGCAATGACTGTTGCAATGTGGCAATATTGTTATTACACATTCTTGCCAATAAAGCTAATTTGAATTGAATTGAATTGACTGTTATTAACCCTTTATCGTAAGCTGATTATGTCTGTGAGTCCAACCAAAGAGTGACTGATCCCTCTGAATACTTTTTAGAGGCCTGAAGTGGTAAAAATATTCCGTATGTAACAGTGTTTTCATTATTATTTCCTGTTTAGTTAATCATATTGCAACCCAACAGAGTTACCTCAGGACCTCAAGGTTGGGAACCACTGATTTAAAATGCTTTACAACAAATCAATAAGTATACAGTAGTCCTCACCGTCCTGTACTGAGGCTGGAGGCAGCACATAATGACCAATGCACACAGACTTCACACTCTGGCGCTTCTCACAGGCGGACAGAAACAAGCTGTGAAACACTGCCACCTTGTTCCAAAGGTAATCTTTGCTCTCAAATATCCTGAAAAACAGAATTAAGTCTCATCTTAAGAGAATGACTTACAAATGATCTGCTAGATGATAAATGTGCAGCTCACCTGAGAGTATCAGCACATGTAGCATCCTTACTGAAAAGGTAATCGGCTGTTCTCCAACCAGCAATGGTTCCACTTTCCGATACTAAAAGCAAAACATGATCAAAAAGCTCAAACTTCCAAAACCGGGTGTGTGTAAGTTAACTTAATGTCACAAATGCCAATGTAGGTCCAACTATGTTAACTTACAGGTCTAGATTTGTGGTAGTAAAGTTAACTTAAATATTCTCCTTTTAAAAATAATTAAAGTATTTCTTTGACATTAGTTATAAAACTTTAACCAAAACATAACGTGAGGTGCAGCATCTCTGTAAGATTGAGTCAATAACGTTATTTCATGAGCACACTAGCTAACGTCACTAATTTAGCTAAATTCAGATACAGTTAACAACATTTAGCAGGCGATTCATTAATGTATGAAGCTGGTAATAGTTTTAACATTACTTACTCCAAAAATTGTGACATGCCTGTGGGACACTGCTTGAAAACCAGGCAGACTTATTCCCAAACATAGCTATGATCCTCGTTAGCTCTTTAGCCTAGCTAGCTTAAACCGTTTCAACTGGTAATATGGCACTGACTGCAACTCGAGCTGTTAAACTGGCAGCTTCAGCCGGAGCTAACGTTTTCCTCTGCTGCTCTGCCGTTTGGCGCTTTCACTGCTGCATTTACATGCTGTCGAAAACTGTCAGAATTGTTGGTATAATCTAAATCATGAAACTTTAAAGAAACGTGTTTGCTTTGCTAATTATCCAAACACAGGTCTGAGTAATGTTAGTTCCGCTAGTCAGGTAACGTTAGCCCAGTTAGCTAACACTGGTGGTGATGAAGTTTAGTCTCTGTTTATCCTTGGCCGTTTTTTAAAAAAGTCTGGGTCAAAGCTGTGGGTATGCATCCGGCTAAACTGTCTTATTACCACATCTGACATTATGAGTGAAAATATTTATTGTTCAATATGTTTCTTCAATTTGGCCTTCTCAGACATGTCCCCTGTGGATGGAGAAGGGCAAAGCATGGATCTCACGGACAACAAAAAGCACAACATTGTGAGCAACCATGCTCCTGAACTCTGACACACAGAGTTTCTGAATGCCCTGGGTGTCTACCATAGGTTTCTACTGATGTAAGATATGTTTTCTTCTCAAACAAGAAAATCTATGTGTTGACATTGATGATTAAGGTACTAAGGGTGTTCATCAGGGTTCCATTGAGGGCCCTATTGTGTTCAATATTTATAGAGATATTGAGATATATATACACAAAGACAAACGTGAACACCACAGATATTATGTCATTTAATGTTTTGATGATGTTGGAGATCACAGTCTAACACGTTGGTCCAAAATCTCCTATAGGAAAGCCATTTATTCTTCCCACATGACCCGTGTGAAAGCATCTGCATTTGTTATGTTTCTCCACTTAGTTATTGAGGTTTTTACTTTTGTCATCTACTTGAATTATGACTGGCAACAGTGCAATACTACATTTCACCACCAGATGGTAATATTTTGTAACATACAGTGGATCACCAAGTCGCGGGCCATTGTATATGGCATTAAGAATATATGTAAAGTAAAATCATTGTATTGTTTTATGACTTTAGTTTTTTTTATTTCATTAGCGCAGCTGCTATTGAATAACTGTTTCTTCAGGAAGTGTATTGCCATATCTTCTAAATGCAACAACTGTCGGAAAGCAGAGCTATGTTGACAGTAATATTGAGCTAGTGACTGAGTACTTAGGACTGAATAACTGTGCAGGTTTCAGTTGATGGAATTGCACAAGGAGGTTGCAGTGGTGGCATGCCCCAGCTTTGAATTTATCCACACCTGGTGAAGAGAACTGGATTATTTCCCAATATTAGGAAGAAATATTACAATCTGGTACTGTTTTTATATGTAACGTTCAGCAACCAGAATTGTTTGCTGAAGGTAAATCTAGCCTCTTGCAGATAAAAAAGATGATACAACATTTCATTTCAGCTGTTGTGTCGTCAAATCTCACTGGTTCAATCTGTGTACTGGCTGGTAAATATACTCACATATTGGACAGCAGTTGGCAGTATGTAGACATGTTCTATCACATTCTCGGTGGGGTTGTCAGCAGGTCAGGTGCTCATTGCTATCCCACAGACACACACAGGAACCGTTGACTCCTGTTTACGAAGCCCTGTAATGGCATGTGTTTTATTACAGTGGCACCCTATTAAGGAAGATGTTGCTGTACAGCAGTATTGCTGGTATAACTGATGGGCTATGCTTGTGAAACCAGAGATCCTATCACCCTGCCACTAAAGGGGATGGTATAGGTTGTATCTCAGGCTATTATAGGTTTTATTAATTGCTTGGAAAACCACTGAGCATACCTACTGCCTGTCCATGGGCAGACGCTCAGTTCTGTGTAATTTCTGTTGGTGTGATGGGGGTGACATGCAGACACAAAAGGCAGAGACTCCACGTAGATTACTGCATGCATGGATGTAAGCATATATTGTCATTCCTCCCTATAGTGGCTGGTTGAGGGGGTTCAAAGCAGGGATTTCTCTGTTGCCATGACAACAGTGAAGCCACACCCTGTTTCTTAATCCCAACCCCCCCCCCCCCGAACATGCTCTGGACACAGCTTCTCAGTTGTGAGGATTTGATGTTTTTCTCTGTTTCATATCATCTAAAAATCAAGCAATATGAAGATGGCATATGGATTTTTAATCATCATATTAATCTGTAATAATGAAAATAATTGTTTGTTGCAATTCTTGTTTTTTTGTTTTTGTTTAAACCATATTGTGCCAGACAGATTTTACTTTAACAAGAGAGTATTAATATACTCCTTTGTCTGTTTTGTGTGTGTGTGTGTGGGGGGGGGGGGGCAATAAACAGCTGACATAGTAAGACAACTAAGAGAAAAATGAAAACAAGAAACAGTCACTCAAAATAAATAAGCAACACAGCACAGCCATGAAAGCTGGAATGATAAAAAATTTAATTTAAATAAGTAACTGAAAGAAAAGCATCAGGAATAATTCTACCAGGGACAACCTAACCTGTTTGTTGCAATTCTAATTAGCTTACAATTTTTCTCAGTCGCTTTAGTACATTTCTCAGATCAGAATTGAAATTCTCAAAACTACTTGTTCAACCTCCACATCCTCTCGTCTTTGCGTGGTCGTGGTCACTTATCTTAAAAAAAATTCCTCATTCTTTTGAACAAACTGCAAATGCTTTGATACATTGATGCGAATTATTATGTACAATTGTCTGCTGTTTCCTACATTATCAAGTGCTTATGTCATGCTAATCGAAATGTATTATACCGGTTCTCTGTTTAATAGTCTTACACCACAAAACATCTAGGAATAAGTTCAGTGCACAAGTCACTACATGGAAAATGGCTGAATACGTTGTCAAAATCAAAGTTAAATAAAGGCAAACTTTATTATCATTCTTCGCACAGCATGGTGCATAAACAAAATAAGAATAGACAACAACAAATCACAACATACATCCCTCAGACCATTCACCTGACACACAACACACACAATACCATACACAGTGATCAAAATATATAATAAATGCCAATAGAAGTGTATGTGTGTGCATGTATATACAGAGACAGACCGAGATAGATCGTCTATATCTATCTGTTGAAATTGATGTGCCATATTGAAAAAAGTGCATCCTTCTCATCAAAATGTTAGCCATAGTTTACATCAGAAAACACTTACACAGTACACTGTTATATTAATAACATGACTAAACATTTGTAAACAATGATAAAAGGACTTGTCATTCTGATGGCATTGACATGTTCACTGACATAAAGATTTGCTTTTGAGCGATAGACTAAGGATTTTGAGCAAGTTACGGGCTTTTTAGGGATGATTTGAGAAATGTACCAAAGCAAGTGAGAAAAACTGTAAACAACTAATCCATTCATTGATTAGTAGAGCCTCAGAAAAAAATTCGACCAATGCCGCTTTGCTTTGGTCCTCATAATGAGATAATAACTAAAATGCCTTTGGGTTGTGGACTGTTGGTTTGGACAAGACAAATTATGTGAAGATGTCATCTTAAATTTTATGAAACTGTTATGGCATTTTATTCAGTAAACCATTTTTAAAAATCGTCAGATTTCAATAAAGAAAATAATTGTTAAGCTGCAGCCCAAATTGAATGTTCATGTAGTGCATTCATGCCCCAACAGTTAGATTTCCTCTTTTCTTTGACTCTGGCCTTTTGTTTGTTCTCTGATGTCCCGGAATAACTCGCATAATCTGAATTATGTAAAAAATACAGTATTTGTCCTCTTCTTCCCCTTTGTTTGCTGTTGTGCTGATTTTGTCCTTTCAGCTTCCCTCCTGCTGGACAGAGTGAATGGCCTGTGGTGGCAGAGCTGGCAGCCCCGGGGCTCATCCCTCTCCCCTCTGTCGCTTATGATATTGTTCCATTGTGTGGTAGCCTATATTATTGTATTGCCATTGTTGTTGTATTATTGCAGCTGGTCGTAGTGTGTTTGGTATTTTTTTTAGATTTAGATTCATCTGACAGTTATTTTCTGCATTAACTGAATGATTGTTTGGTCTTTAAAATATCAGAAAATCGTGAAAAATGCCACACATCACATTTTCCCAGGGCTCAAAGTAGCATTTTTATATTATTAGTTTGTCCAAACAACAATCCATAAATTCACATTTGAGTGCCTGAAACCAGTAAAGTTTAGGCATTTTTGCTTAAGAATGGCTTAAATGATTAGTTAACTAATGTTACTGTTACTAATCCATTAATCGACTAATCGTTTCAGCTCTGAGTTGTAACAGTACAGTGTGAAAACTATAATGTCATTACTGAGTAAGAGGTAGTGTGCGACCGATTTATTCAACTTTTGTTTGGCTGCATTCACAGGGAAATTCAAGCACTTACACAGACACATTCATGTAATCTTTAATGAAATGTGTAAATATGGGCAGCATAATAAAACATTACACAGATAAAATAGCACAAAAACAGAAACAAACATTTTAAAGTGATTTGTCAAGCATGTGAGGACAGTGGAGACATTTGTGTTGTGGAGGTCTGGGAGCTCTGGACATTATTTTATAGTCCAGAGCTCCCAGACAAGATCAATAACAACTCTTTATGAATTGCTGCTGGCTTTGAATGTTATAAATGTGCTGCCTCCAGACATCACCAGTCAGCATTCTCATGCAGTAGTTTTTCAGTGAGATGGAGCAGTAAACCTTACTGGAGTTTATTACTAAAGAGTTATAGAAGAAGTGGTTTGCCAATCTGTCAATTTAACTTGCATTTACTTTAGTTCAGTGTTAAATGAGCAGTCTATTATCTCCCCATCGCTCTCTTTCTCTGTCTCCCTATCAAGTCTCTTTCTCTCCAGCTGAACCAACAACATCAAAGGAGTGTGCTTCAAATCGCAGGTGTTGAAGGATTAAGGCCACCGCAGGATGGGTTTTTATTCTCAGCCTCATCTTTGATGTAGTGTCTCTTTCCCTCACTTGTGTCTCTAACCTGTAACATGGAATTGTAACCCAGAGTGTCCACTGCTAAACTGAAAATATGGAGTGTCAGACAGCTCCGTTAAGTGGGTAAATATCAAAGAGGCTGCACACAGGGACAAGTAAATATGTCCTAAAGTGATTAATGTCAGAAGTTTCACAAATGAGGACAGCATAGCGTGGTAACTTGCTTTATCGTCTCTGCATGAATTAGGTCATTGTGGACAATATTGTAAACTGGTGAGCCGGAGTGCTTTATGTTATTGATTTTTAGCCATGCTAGTGGTGTGGCTCTATGGATGGCAATGTCAGTCTGTGTGTTGGTTAGTCACTTTGGCCCAGACTGAAATATCTTAATAACTGTTGGATGGATTGCCATCATATGTTGTACAAACATCCACGGTGCCCAGAGGAAGATTTGGTGATGCCTTAAGTTTCTCTGCAGCTCCACCTGTATGTTGATATTTGTGGTGTTGAGTAATATGTCTCGACAACAACTGCATGGATTGTAAAAATATTTGGTACAGACATCCATTCCTCCCTCATGATGAATTGAAACCACCTTAACTTTTAATGTTGCACCATCATCAACTCAAAACTCCCTTTATCATTCCCATCAACCTCAGCTGTTCTTTGCTTTTAGTAGTAATTAGCAAATGTTAGCATGCTAACACGGTAATCAAAGATATTGAAAATGGTAAATGTAATACCTGCTCGTCATCATGTTAGCATTGTCATGGTGAGACTCCTCTTATATGATTTTTGCGCCAATGTGATGAAGTACTTTGATTTGGCAGGTATTTAAATTGCTGGATTTGCCAAAAAAGAAGCATTGCTGTTTGATTATTTTACCCATACACTGTTTCTCTATTGATTTTATCCAAAATTGTTCACAATGTCCTGTAGAGTGGGTATGGGTAACCTCAGTATCTGACTCTGTAGTGACGTAATCACAACATTATCAGCTATTTTTTAGCTTGTCACAGTTGTGTTGTATAGCCAGGTTTTTGCTGTTTTGAATACATACAACCAAATTAGCCAGCTATAACACATAATGTGATCATTAACATAATGCTGCTGTGTAGGAAGGTAGCTGCTGCATAGTGTTAGCTACATAGAGGTGTTTTGTGTTTTCTCTGTCTGTCGGAGCTGCAGAGAAAGTGTGATAGGAATCGCAAATTACACTATGCACACCACACTTGAAACTGCTTTCAAATTCAAACTTTTTCCTCCAGAGCCATGTAGAGAGAGAGTTGCATCATCTCCGTTCAAATTCAATTCAAGTGGTGTTATTGGCGTGTCTGCATACATTATAATGTGGCAGAATCATATAATGCAATCATAACAAACAAAATAAACTCCCCCCCCC